CTCTTTGTCTCCTACCTGGTAGCTCCATCTCTAACATTCTTCTACCAATGTATCCACTGTCCCTCCTCTGCACATGTCCAAACCATCTCAATCTGGCTTCTCTAGCTTTTTCTCCAAACCTTCCTGTCTGTGTTGTCCCTCTAATGACCTCATTCCTGATCCTGTCCATTCTTGTCACTCCTAAAGAGAATTAGCATCTTTAACTCTGCCACCTCCAGCTCTGCCTCCTGTCTTCTGCCTATTGCTACTGTCTCTAAACCATACATCATGGCTGGTCTCACCACCGTCCTGTAAACCTTTCCCTTCCCCTTAGCTAACACTCTTCTATCACAGATCACTCCTGACACTTTTCTCCAGCTGTTCCATCCTGCCTGCACTCTATTCTTCACCTCTCATCCACAGTCTCCTCTGCTCTGAACAGTTAAGTACCTAAACTCCTGCACCTTCACCACCTCTGCTCCTTGTAACCTCAGTATTTCACTGTTCTCCCCTTTCGTTTACACACTTGTACTCTGTCTTGCTGTGGCTGACCTTCATTCCTCTTCTTTCTAGTGCAAACCTCCACCTCTCTTCTAGCTGCTGCCTACTCTCACTACAGATCACAATGTCATCTGCAAACAACATAGTCTATGGGGACCACATCTGTCAATCTGTCCATCACCAAAGCAAACAAGAAGGGGCTCAGGATCCTTGATGTAGTCCCACCTCCACCTTGAAGTCTTCTGTCCTTCCAACAGCACACATCACTACTATTCTCATACATGTATACCTGCACCAAACTAACATACTTCTCTGCCACTCCTCAAACAATACCACAATTCCTCCCTTGGCACTGTGTCATATGCCTTTTCTAAATCTACAAGTACACAATGTAGCTCCTTCTGACCTTCCCCGTACTTCTCCATCAGCATCCTCATGCAAATATTGCATCTGTGGTACTCTTCCTAGGCATGAAACCATACTGCTGTTCACAAATCTCCACTTCCTGCCTCAACCTAGCTTCAACTACTCCTTCCCAAATCTTCATTGTATGGCTCATCAACTTTATCCCTCTGTAGTTGTTACAACTCTGTGCATCACCCTTCTTATGAATTGGCACCAGAACACTTTTCCTCCACTCATCAGGCATCTTGTCCGTCTCTAAAATTCTGTTAAACAACCCAGTCAGGAAATCTCTCCACATCTCCTAAACACTTCCATACTTCCACTGGTATGTCATCAGGATCGACTGACTTTCCCCTCTTCATCCTCTTCAGAGCTTCTATTCTTCCTCTTTTCTCTTTTTCTCCTAACCAAACACACTTCTCTTCTTCTCTGTCTTTGACCAACAAGATTATGACTGCAACACATGCAGGATATGGCTCTGTGTATAAGAACCGTATTTTGACAGCTTGTTAACCCCACTAGTTTTTTCATTAAAATAGCCAGCTCACCTCAGACCCTGATGATGACTCAAATAAAAAAAACTGATCATTCTTGCTAACCCACAATCACCTCAACATGAAGAATGGGAAGAGCAGCCATTAGCAAACTTTTGAAACACGTTTTCATTGGACTAGTATGCAATAGTGGTAATGGTTCTCTGCACTGCATGGTAACATTTGAGGTTAACAACCCTCAGAGTGTTGATATTTCAACAAGCCATAATACAATATTTGGTAGACTATAAATGCAATTGCTTTTAAGTAACCAAAAACACATGAGTACTATTTACTGAGCATAACAGCAACATAGTTCAGGCAACACATTCTGATATTATCGTGTACTATGTTACCATGTAGTCAGCCACTGCCACAATATTTTCCATAAATGTTTCCCACACAAAATTGGAGGGCAGAGTGAGAGATGTCAAGTGGTTCAGCTGAGCCACATCACAAGATGCAGCAGTAAAAGTAGCAATAATCACCCGCTACATGCAGCTTCCAGCTACAGAGAGAAGAGACTTTGCTCTAGCGATGACATCACCTGGGGTGGTGGTGTCCAGTCCTAACCAAGGACAGGCATCTGTGCTTACTTAGATAGACTGCCAACACACCTCTGTTTGCTGCCTGGCTGGCAGTCAGGAGGCAGGTACTTGCACATGAGGAAAGAAACACTGCCAATGTAGCCAATTGCAGCATACAGACAAAATATCTATGCACTAATTTTATTTATATTTAACCCTTTTGGCAGCTAAACTAACCACAGTACATGTGCATATTGTTGTATGTGTAAAACAAAACAACCAAAAATCTTCTAAAATATAACATGTAATCACAACATAAAAATATATTAAAGTTCGGTCTCACAGTTTGGTTTTCTTTTGCCATCGCTGTTGCCACGGTTTATGAAAAAAAAAAAATACATATATACTGTCTATATATATCTTAATGTAACATGATATGAGATGCTCAACAGCCCATGTCCACAAATGTTTGCCTTTCCTTAACATAATGCACCTGACTGAAAATTTTCAATTTTTCTCAAAAATCCCTTATTTCCTTTTAAACACTGGTATCCTGAATGAAGCATCTATCAAACGTTTCTACCCAGCAACACTGACATTCAATGGTCTGAAAACAAACAATGTTTCTATCATCAGTTATCTCACATGTGTTTTGGCCCAGGAAACATACAGTGCATGCTTGCTGAAGGTGGCTTCCGACTGATAAACTTCTAGCCTTGCTAATAAACAGCCTTTAGCATTTGGCCTTTCCTCCCAGAATCTCTCCACAATATCAGTAACAATAGAGATGGAAACATTGTTACTAAGTTTAACACATAGTGTACTAATGGTCCATGACTCAGCTTTGCTTATAAATAGAGTAAAATCCAGGTCCATGTGCTTGTTAAAAAACCATATTATAGTGTGACACTTCCATCTAACTTCACTCTGCACCAATATTTGAAAGTGTGTTTCAAAATCAGACCAGAAACAGCTGAGGACCCTCAACCTGAGCTGGTATTCACTTGTAAGAAGTGTACCAACCTTAAGGGAACTATACTATAAGAGAGAGAAATGCTACTGCTCCAATTCATTACCAAGCATTAAGCAGCAGTCAGAGAAGAAAATCAACCTTGGTGAGAGAAAACACACTGCCACTGCTGGGCTTACTTAAACCCCAACAGAAACACAAAGAAAGTCCAAATCCCCCCTTTGAAGACTGCCAAATGACCACTTTATTCACTTGTACACATTCCAGTTCACTAGATATTTTCACACAAATTGCTCTTTGATGACAAGTAATGACTCACCGATATTAACCATTGCTGTTATTGTACACATTCACTTATCCTGAAATGTTTCGATAAACACATCATTTAAATCAGAAGCATATTTCATCTTCTCACAGGTTATAAATAATACTGTTAAAACATATTATTTTCCCAAAAACTCAATAAATGCATGTGGCAGCAGCAGCAAACAAACAGAACCACGGGTTAGATTCTGACCCGCTTTAAATACACACAAAAAAGCTTAATGTGCAACACTTGGCCCAAACAGAGTTTTCTTTAACTTTATTTTTACTCCAACTACTATAGTTGGATAGTAAGATATCACAACTGTTCACACTGTTTTTAACTTCAGCACCCTGGACAGCACAACCTCCAGTAGCACCTTATTATATTGTTAACATAAAACCACAATAACAATATTGGAAAACAATGACGCACAAGCTTATTATATTATAAAGACTGCACAATTATGTACCATGTTAAAAAACAAAAACTTAATTACCTGTTAGATTCTGCATCTGCTTGACGGTGGATACTTGGACCAACTCATCAACAGCAACTTTACCCGGTTTTGTGGTTTTGTGAGCCATGCTTGAAGACTGAGGAGCAGATGTGAAGAACTCTGGCTCAATTTCTGTCACAGTGTTGACTTCTGTCTGGTTGCTGCTACTGCTGCTGTGTTCAGGAACCTGATAAGTAGACTCATCAAAAACACTTGTAGAAGATTTGACATCTTCAGCTGAAGTTCCACCTTCAGTCAGAATAGCAGCCGTTGACTCCTGTTTGTCAACTGATGTACCAACATCCTGACTTTGGGTTGTAGTTGTTGCCATTCCTAGTGGCTCTTTTGGGTGACTTTCCTCGCCAGGTCGGGTGTTGCACATAAAAGTGCTAGGTGGAATAGTCGTAGGTATTCTTGTCCCATCAATAGTACCAGTGATGTCTGGAGAGGAAATGACTCGTTGAGGTGGGTGAGTAGGTGGAGTTCCTTCAACAGCAAAAATGATTTCAATGTCATCAACACTGGGATCATAATCTGGGAAGGTTGTGGTTGAATGAAGCTCAGTGAGTGAGTCTGTTGATTCAGAGGAGCTGAAAACACCCTGAATGGTCTGTTGGTCTGTGGATTCTGTTGGACTGTCACTGAGGTCAGAGATGATGGCTGTGGTCACCTCAACACCTAGAACAGTTTCCTCGGTTTTCCCCTCAGCAAACATGGGCTCAGTTCCCACAGAGGCATCGGTGAAGGGGACATCAGGTTGAAGTGTAATTATTTGAATTACTGAATGATCATCTGGTTCCTCTGTAGTCTCAGAGACAGATGCCGTCTTATCAGTAATGTCTGCTGTGTATTTAAGGTCCACCTCTGGAGCAGCTGTTGTGTGATCACTTTCCTCATGTTCATCCCTGATTGTAGGTGCGACTGTGGTAATTAATTCTTCTTCTTCTTTTGGAGTGGAACGCAGCGGAGCCATACTGGCAGAAAACATATATATGACGGTTGAGGAAACAGTAGAATGTAGAGACTCATCTGCCTCTGATACGGTTACAGGGAGTGTTGAGACACTGCTCTCCAGTAGAGGCCTTGAAGTAGTGGAGCTGGTGGTTGTGGTGGTCATTTGTATGACAGACATGTCCACCAAGAATGTTTGGTTAAACAGATCTTTCGTTCCTGTAAAAACAGACAAATGCAGCGCACATAAGTGTCTGGCTATAATTATAAATATGTTACATTAAACTAGTCAATGTAACATAATTTATAGGTGACAATGTAGTTTTGCAGTTTTTATGTTACATTTCTTCTATAGAAAATAGAGCATTAGTAATAAATGTTTATATCTTATTTTATATTTAATATACTTTTATATATAAACTTTCTGTATTTTATACCATGAAATGTTTATATTGCAGTGTTGTTATTGTTTACACAATGCCTTTTAGTCAGTAGAAAACCTGTCATGCAATGTGGTTTACAAATTCACACGTCTGGTTGATATAAACTTTTAAAAGATTTGTTGTCAGTTTGATAAAAAGTCAGTTTTATTTTAAGTTTCCTGAAGAGATATTTGTTGTCCTTCATCACTGTGTGCTCTAAACACGCTTATTTTTTAACAGTCATTAGTGGCACAAGAATCTTTAAATGCTCTTTTAATAAACCAGACTGACTTCTTTTGGAGTTATATGGAGTCGATCTCCTTCAGGTCTCCTCTATTTTCCACCCCTCATCTGATGTCATCTGATGCTCTCTCTCACTCCCATAAAATGCAGTGTTGCAGCTTTAAAAAGCTAATTTTTGTGACGGAGACAGATAGTTTAAATCCAGCTGTTGACCATTATGCACTAACCTTTTTCCTCCTGAAACTGTCCCTGATTTAAGGTGTGACACACATTCTTCCCAAACAGGAAAATGGGATCTACTCTTGGAACTATTATCACCCTGAGGCTTTAAACATTGCTGCTATTACTGTGACCTTTGCTTTTGTCTGGGCCCATCCTGAAAGCACCGACCTCATCATTCATTTATCTTCATCTTCTGTGTCCGACTGTGTAGACTGACTGTAATTATAACAGATCCTCTTGTGAAATATAGTGGGAAAGCAGGAAACGATGGCATGAGTTTCACCAAACACGAGCACTTGAAAAGCACTTAGATGGAAGCATAAATATAACATGACTGGGAGAGAACTGACATAGAATACACAGAGCAGGAGGTGAGTGTCGCCTGTTTGTGTGCCCTCTGATCTCCAGGGGGACTTATCACTACAAGAGTTAACATGGCTCAGGGGCAGTTAATGGGCTAGGCAGCCGATGGCTTATCTGTCCAACCTCTCATTTGTAAAGATGGAAAGGCCAGGTCAGGGGTCGCCGAGCATGACCAAATATAGAAAGTCCAGCAGTAGCTTTGTCCATTATCCAAATGTCTGCTCTGATAAGTACAAGTGAGAATGACGGAGGACAAAGTCTGACAGCGGAAATGAGGAGAAAGGTAAAAAGAAAATGAGATAGTGAGAATAAAAAGGTTGACAGGTGTGGTATTAGTTACTTTTGCTGCTCATTTAAATGTGCCATCAGTCAATAGAATTCCCCTCAAGGGAAGCTGAACACATTAAACTGCTGACTGAAAGTAAGGAGAGTTTAAAGGTGATCTCCTTCTTCTTATTCATAGTGATTTTGGTCAGTCTAACCAAAATATTTCTACTTATACAACTGTGTGTCTGAGTAGAGATATATTCACATTAAGAAAGTAGCCTTGCCTAGTGGCTCTTAGATTAAATCGAATTAAAAGTAATCATAATGTTACTAACATGGAACAACTCTTTCATCGGAGGCAGTGGTGCCTTCAGAGTAGCACTTTAGTTTGTTTTACAACAGTGAGGTTGTTTAAGGACAACGCTTGAGAGGCTTTAATTACAGCAGCTGGAAGTAATAGAGATAAAACAAACACAAGCACTGACTGGTATACATTGTCACAAACCCTCATTAATTCGCCCATTAGAATTGGATCTGGTCTAACCATTACTTGTTCAGTAAACACCATTTCCTTGTATGATTTTAATCTACTCTTGGCCTCTCCTGTGGCAACAGCGATGGCAAAAGAAAACCAAACTGTGAGACAGTGAGGTCACCTTCAACACTGTAATATGTTGGACTAGTCTGGCAAACAGACACAGTACTGCTGAGAAAAGTATTTTACTTCTCACTGGTTTCTCTAATTCCCAAAATTACACGTGTAGTAAAGAGCACAGATGGAGGAGAACAACCTAACACACAACAACAGTGTAGAATGTTACTCTGTTGTAGATGTGGATAGTATAGACAAGCAGAGGGTGAAAGGGTGGAGAAGTGAATACAAGAGATGAGATCATAGCTCCTCACAGTCCAGTTGCCAGAGTTTGACAGAAAATGATCTGCACACTATTTCTATTGTTTCCAGTTTACATGTTGCATAACACAGCATGTGCCCTTTCAAACTGTATGCAAACAATCCCATGTGAGATGTTAAATTTTAACAGTGTCTTTAAAATTTGGAAGTTGGTGAAAAACAAACTACATTATAAAAAAATGTGAAGACCTGCAACGCATAAGCGGGGACCAAGATAGTTTTATCACTAAGTCACATATTTTATTGTTGTTTTCACTTTATTTTTACTTTTTATTTTTAGTTTCCAATTTCTTGGAAAATGTCTTGACATGAGAATGTCTTCTCACCTTCACATTTATGCATTGCTACAAACACCTCCATAACCTAAAAGATACTGTTTTGTATTCATTGTGAATCTTCTTCTATTATTGGAAAAATAATTTATTTCAAATTAGGCCTAAATGCAAAATTATCTGACCCAGCCCATACTCCATTTTAGGGGGGGATCCAAAATTTTTTGGGTTTTCAAATCTACAAGGCTTTGAAATTAGGTTTTACCTTTAAAACAGTAAGCTCCATGCTTATTAGGTGGTTCTGGGAAACCTGTCTGGTTTCTGTACTTATACATGGTTCTGACACCAAGCAGACCTCCTCCACACTGCATTCTGGGCACTGCAACAGGATGTCGTACACTGCCATCAGAGAGCCAGCCATAGTCACATTTGTCCAGGCCCATCCTCCAAGCTGCGTGGAGCTGACCAGGGGAAGCCAAAACAGAATTCCTCTTTTTGCACTCTTCGCTGGCTTCATCCAGGGTCATCTTATTACCCACAGGGGCATAGAACACGTCACCTAAAACAAAGAGAGCAAAACAATTAAGGACTAGCGGCAGAGGGAGCAGAGATAACCAGAGATGACAGCAACAAAGTCTGAGTGCAGAGTAAGGTTATTTTTGTTCAAAAATAAATTAAAACAGAGTGTCATTTGTAATGATCTAGGCCAACAGGTCTTTCAAATAATTTTGACCTTTCAGAGGAGACATAACCCAAAAACAGCTGAAAAAGTGCACAGCTGTGCAGGGCAGAGACCCAAAACATCTCCCACCAATAAGTACTTAGAAAACAGTAGTTCATTCTTTATATTATTCTGAGGTGGGATAGCTATGCAGACAATGTCCCTGGCCTGTCAACAAATCTCTGTCTAATTTAGGACAGAGATTTAGAATTCTCCCTGAACTATTATGTGAGGTTGATGTTTCCCTTGGGAATGTTGCATTTTCAAGGTTAACTTTTCTGATTACATACAATATAATCTGTCCTTGCCAATAGGAGTAATACAAATTAAACAATGTGAAGAAGCAGGATCTCAGCCAAGAAATGTTACAAGAGAGGATGACTGTTTGACTACATGTTTTCAGTTAATGTTGGGTGTAACATTGTAAATATCAAATGTTGGTTTGGTCCCAGTGATTTACAATGGCATTGAGATTAAGAGATGCTCCCCTCCCATCCCCCTCATAAATGCATTCCCTAATAAAACCAAAGCAGGAACAGAGACTCTCCCAAAGATTAACTTCCATCTGAAATTGTTGTGCAATAGTTTTTGGAAAAATATTAAAAAGCAAATGCTTAGAATGACTACAATACAGACATAATGAAGTACAAGACATTTTAATTAGGATCTATTTTTCAGCCACAATAAAAATATTACGCTAACTTATATACAGGACTCAACTCAACTGCTTTCCTCAGGTAATGTCTTGGCAAAACAGCTAGTGATGCATTTAGACCATATATTTAAACTGCTCTAAACCGTTTATCTCGATGCAGTGCTTCATCTTCACATTCTGTCATCAGGCCAAGCTCTTCTTGGGCTAAGCCCGGCCACTCTGTGGAGGGAACAACCACTTGTATTTACAATCTGGCTCTTTTGGTCAATATAATATTTGATTAACTCTGGTGAAACTGTCGGGATTGAACAGGGAAAAACAGGATTTTGAAATGATGTAACATCTGGACACCATATAGAGCGACAGCATGTTTGCACATATTTCATTTGATTAAAACTTTAAAATTTTACTCCAACTCCATAGTTGCAGAGAGTGACATTTGGATGGAGTAAATAATTAACAAACAGAAAAACACTGTTGGCTGTGAAGTGAAAAGTTCTTATGTGCCATGCCAAAGACATTTAAAACTCTCATTATCACATACTTTGTTAACGTTTTTAAAAACCACCACTCACTGGGAAGAAAGAATTTCAACGTCTCCTCAAAAGCTTCTCTCTAACATCCACCTACCTTTTTATTATACCTGGAACTCTGTGCCTTTACAAAACATGGAATATGTAATGTAACAACTAAAATAGGGTTACTACGGGACATGCTGCCTGTAATAACATTTACTAGCCTTCAAAGTCTCAGCCACCAGCCCTCATTTTGTGAGGTTACTCACATTCATCCATTACTTTTAGGCTCACACTGCTCACAGACAGACAAACAGATAAAAGTATCCAAAACCTGAACCTAACTGGCAGACGTAACACAATAATTAAGTGTATTTACACAGTAGGCTTATAAAGCATGAAAGAAATTGCTTTGGCACCATAATAATTTGTAACTTTCGTCATTTTAGCCGAAGGGTGTGCCAGTGCTTTCCCTGCAACACTTAATTTTTCATAGCTTACGCCTTTGGGGCATGATTTGTGGCAGACTTACCTTCAAGTTTATCTACGTAGCAGTAGACATCATAGGTCTCCGTGGGCTTCCTGGTTCCATATGACCTAATACCAGGTTTGCTTTTGAGGTTGCCATAGCAACCTTGCCTTGGCTTTATGATGGGGTACCTGTACAGAACAAGAAGAAGGCAGCATTTAAGACAAAATCAAAGTTGTTGTGACAAGGTATTATTTATTACCAGCAATACTCATACAGCAATAAAAACATATGACTTTGGATAACATAAAAAGACAGCGGACCTCACTGTCTGGTCAGCGATCCAGCCAGCATCACACTGATCAAATCCATCTTCGTAGGCAGCTTTCAGCTGGTCGTAGGTTGCAATGGTTGCTCCAACATCTTTGCAGGTTTTAACAGCATTATCATAGTCCAGTGTATATCTGCTGGTTTTAGCCCGATAGTGAAAGACAACACCTGAAAGAAAAGTGGTGGGAAGAAAAATGATATGCAACTAGATACTTCACTTCACAAATCAGACTAGTCATTTAGTGTAGGATTTCTCTGACGAACAGGAATATCGTATCAAAAATACAAGCGATTTCTGGGGAAGAAAAATCACTTCTAATTATCAATATAATAACTATTGGCGGGTTCATTTAAGCTCTAATTAACTGACATAATTTTATAGTCCACACTAGGCAACGACGTAAAGTCGACGTCTCCCCGAGAGGAGTCAAAAAGTCTGTCCTCTCTTGTGTCAACGCATTCTTTACCTTTAATTGGCTAAATCTCATATTTTACGCAAATATTTGAATCGATGTAAGCTGATATTTTACCGTCTTAACCGACAATAATAATCACTCGTCTTTAACTTCAGAAAAGTCGACGTGAAAAACATCAGAAGTGATCAATGACCTAGTCCACGTCATTCCTCAAACAATTCCCTTGTCTATAGCAGCCATATGAAAATATTTAAATAATTACAACAAGATATGTTTTGATTTCTCCGTAAAATGATAAACGTTTAACCAAATAAAATCAGTTTAAAATGTTTCTTGATCACCTTGTTCTGTCATACCACTATCTTTGCCAATTATCAACTGACAATTTTCAGGTTTTTTTTTTCAAGTTTCCCATGTGTTGTCAGCCTGAGGGGAAGTGTGTATAAATCAATTTTGAAAAAAAAAAAAAAACGGGAAAATAAAAACTTATTGAAATTTTGTATACAAACATTCACAAAGCATTCTGCTGTTCATCAGCATCATGTCAGTGCCATAAATTATGGCAAACGTCTCATAAAACACATACCATCAGTGAAATAACTCAGCCACTTAGCTGCTTTGGAAAGAGGGAAGTTTGCAATAAATGGAGAGGATAAGTAAAATACAGTTAACCACAAATGAACAAGATGGCTGCAGATGATGCCATGGCCCTGAAATCCCCATATTTGTGGACAGTATCCAGACCCAGAACATGTGATTGATGGCACTAATTAACATTGCAGATAGTTGGAAGAGAGGTTGTGAAAATCGTTAACCAGTGAGAAGCCAAAGTATCCCAGTACACCCCCCCCCCACTCCACCCATGTTTTCTACATCCCCTCAACATGAGTTATATCTCCCAGCATACTTGTCAAGTGAGAAAAAGTAGACCCCACCACCACCACCACCACCACTACCAATGAGACTGTAAAAGTTAACTTGGTGGTACTGCAATATTGTTGCATTATTATATACATAATTTAAATGTTGTGCAAAGTTAAGTATGGGGATTTTAGTTAAATTCTACCATTGCACAGTGAATGTAATGTGGAAAGAACAGTGTAACGCCCCACTCCTGCACACTAACAAGGTGGCAAACATCATGCAAGGATGCATGAGGTTATAAACCCCATTTAAACATGTGATTTGTAACCCACATGGTCACATGGATCAACTCTGGAATTTACATATAGAGTCATGGTAGTAGACAAGTACCCAAAGTTTTCTTCTTACTCTTACTCTTACTCTGGGGCAGTGGTGGCTTAGTGGTTAAGGAAGCGGACTTGGGTCCGGAAGGTTGTAAGCTGCCAAGTTACCACTAAGGTGCTCTGAGCATGGCACTGTCCCCACACACTGGTTAAATGCAAAGGTCACATTTTGTTGTGTGCAGTGATGTGTGTCACAATGTCACAATGACAAGGAGTTCACTTTCCTTTCCTTAAAATAAGAACAGTGTCTCACCGCTGACATCCAGGTCCACTGTATCCTGTGTGTCCTCAATGCCGTAGACCACCTCACACCGATAAGTGCCAGTGTCACTGGCCCGTAGCTTCACCATCGTCAAGGAGGCGTCACCAACGTCCTCAGGGTGACTAGGCACCGACACACGGTTCCTGTAGCTGGAGCCTATCTTGATGATACCATTCTGTGCCACCAGCACTGTTGATTCCACCCCCTCGTCTATTTTGGTCCATTTGATCCGCAAGTAGTCTTGGCTATAAATGATTGTTCCATTGGGAGTGATGACAGGTGCTGAGGTCGGGATGGTGGAGAAGAAGCAGGGAAGATTCACCTTCCCCGAGAGAGACCCCGTAATTGGTTTGATTATTGACAACCCATTGGAAGCTAAAAGGCAAAAAGTGAAATGATTAGAGGCAATTTGTGCTTCTATATCTCAAACTTATTCATCAGTTTCTAAATTATTTTCAGGCAAAGATGAGTCACAAAGTTCTAAGACTAAAACTCAAAATGCCGTCTACTTTTAACAACTAAAGCCTTTCTGAGTTTTTCACGTTTCTCCAAAAGCACTGACAATTTCTATCATTATTGCTTTGTCAAGTGTTGAGCAGTGTTACAATTTATTGAACACCCAAAATTTAACATTCCTGAAATGAGAGAAAACATTTTTTATCCTGTAACTACAAAAATATTTGAAAGATAAATAATGAGAAGCAAGATGTAATCTGGTATTTAAGACAGAAACACTGCTTGCAACGGGGCAGGAGAAATGTTGTTGTTTGTATATGTACACTGACAATTAAGATGATTGTTCTTCTTTGGATTTACACTTGTAAGTAGTTTTGTTCTTCCTTGTGTTCATATTTTATTGGGTGTGGGAACCTACAGTATTTGACACTGACTGAACTGCACTCATGGTAGAGAAGCATGGTAAAGATTATAGTTTGGTTGGGCCACACAGTGGAAGAGTGGTTAATGCAGGTGCTGCACAGCATGAGGGTCATCAGTAGGACATTGTGATTTTAGCAGATGGTCCGTCTGACTGTGAACTGCATCTTTCCCCCACATGTGTGTGGGTAAGTGATGGACACTGTGGTTTCTTCCCACAGTCCAATCTCATGCTGATTATGGTTAAAGTTTAATTAAAAATGTCCTAATTGACTATGTGGGAATGTTAGTGTGAAAAGGTTGTTTGTCTCCAGAGTGAGGCAATGGAGCAGTGTGGGTGTAAAACTGGGAACATTTTCATTCATTTGTAAGACAATCCAAAGAAAATAAATAACCAGGTGATTATTGTTATAAACAAAGAAGAAGACATAGAGACACAGACATGAATAAGAAATATATTGACACAAGAAGGGAGCGAATTACAACAATGGGGTGCATTTTTACAGATGCACCGAGTAGAGGGTGTGTTGTAATTTGGATGTGAATAGCATTTCTTACTACTCCAACCCTTTCGTGTGCTTTTTATTCTATATGTGGCACTAAACTACATGGCTGGGCTTACAGTAGCTTGAACTTGTTCTCTGACCCTTAACAAGATCAACCGGTAGAGGATGAGTGAATGAATGAATGAACAGATAGACGGATAAATGGATGGAGGTTGGAACACTATTGCTGCATACTGTATGTCAATGTTTGTTAGTAAATTCAGCCACAGGAATAGTAACAGACCCCAAATATACATTTCAGTTTTTCTCTCTAATCTAAGTTGGCCATTTTTCAATATATAAAAAATCTACTTATTACTTTTTTTACAAAACAGAGAATTGAAACTGTTAATCATCTCCCCTTAAGCATTTATCCACATCTAATTTTCATCACCGTCTCCTATTATGCATAAGGTCTGTTACTGCCAGACAGAGATGAATGACAACACAGTGAATCACGCCTGTCAAATGTCAAAAAGTTTTCTTTTTATTTGTTATTTTGTTTTGTTTTTTGGTAATAGTGTAGGCAACACTGTGGATACAGTAGTGGGACAACCCCAGAGGCATGTGTGTGTGTGTGTGTGTGTGTGTGTGTGCTTGAACAGTCTTATTAGGATGAGGGGTGAAACCAGCTGTTGTTTCAGACACAGAGCAGGGGCTAATTGAAAGGTGTCCATTCAAGTCCACAAACAGGGTGAGAGACTGTAGGGGCCAGAAAGCCATGAGGGCCCAGGGTCCCTGGGATACTGACCTCTGTGATGGTATCACCTTCACCTTAGTCTTGCAGGTTTTTATAGGACAACAACTGATTCTGCCTTATACTGTCTTCAACTGAAGGATGTGAGAGAGTGAAACACATAATCGTGTCACTTGTCTGACCAAAATGTTTGCAGCTAAGTGGCTAAAAGTGTCTGAATACCAGATCACGGTTTGAAGAAGAGAAAAGGCTTAAAGAGCTGGATTTAGAATTAAGCAGAATGTGGAGAAAGACTCTTAAACAATATAATGTGTGAGGGGTGGAGATGGGTGGATGAGGCTGAGCAGGAGAGAGAGACAGAGAGACATAGTTACTCAATCATGACTTACTTGTTGCAGCTGCAGCTTCCCAGAGACAACATAACCACAGGATATGCTTTATATTAAGTATCATCTGTTAAGAGGAAAAATCAAAAAGAAAATAGTGAGGGCATAAATTCAGCAACATCTTAAGGCTTAGTCAATATAATTTTTGTTAGCAATTTATAATCTAGAAATAATACTTTAAGAAGAAATACATCAATTTAAAATAACAGCACAAGGAAAAAGTGTAATTTATATTTTGATTACAATAACTGATTTTTTTCTAATAATGATTTAATTATTTATTTTAGCTATTTATCAACCAAGTGAGTTTTCTTTTATTACATTTACAAATTGGCCTAAAAAGGAGACATGGCTCAGGTCTGAATGGATTTGTGGGTGGTAGAGCTAAGAGGTGAAAAAATAAAACCTCCTGTGGGGTCGAGCTGCAGAGTTTTTGGAGACAGGAGGACAGAAGCAGTGAGGCTGAGCCCCGCTGTATAAACACAAGTGGCGGCTCAGAGGGGAGCTGATGAAAAAAAGTGCTATTCTCTAAAAAAGAAAGCCAGAGGGAGGGAGAGAGGCAGGAGGGAGAGTGCGGAAAAGTGTGGATATTAAAAGATTACAAGCTTTAGTGCGTGAATGGGCTTTTGTTCTTAGTGTAATGATCATTGTAAAAATTGGATAAGATCATCATTCTAAGTCGATGGGTGCATCCTAGTGGAAAAGTAATTAAACAATAATCTGCTAGAAACAAGAAGTGCAAACAGCTGGTGCAAAATCGAGTTGGACTTCTACATATTCTCCACTCACTTAACACATTTTCTCCGTTAATTTAAATGTGTTTGCGATCAATTGCAGGATAAAACGGGTTTTATACAAATAAGACGAGTTCAAATAGTTACTGGGCATCACACAGGCATTTGATTGGCTGCACATTTCACAGAGATTTTAATCATTAAAGTTGCTCCCTGCTGTGAAACACGGATTTTCTGCTACCGTGAGTTAAAACCCTGTTAAAGAGGACACTTAACTAAAGAAAAGAAAAGAAAAAAAAAAAAAAAAAAAAAAACTGTTCGTTGTCCCATGTCTTGTTCGTTGTCCCATGTCTTAAAAGCTCCTAGTAGAGATAACTCGCCACGAATCTTAACATAATTACAATAATACATTTTTAATTTTTTTTTAAAGTGATAAATAACGTAAAAGGCTTGAGAATCGTTTTCCGTAGCGGGACACAGCTGTGGGTTATCTGAGGACGCGGCATCACTGGACACTTTGCTGTTTAATTATTATAATATTATTAAAATAACAGTTAATTTAGTTGACTAACTTAAACAGCTTGGTAATTACCATAAATCTTCACAAAATACAACAGTGGTGTTCCAAGAACGCGCTAAAACATCACACAAAATGGGACCGGCACTTACGGTGAAAGAAGTTTTACTCCATAAAATGTAGATATAACGGTATTTGTGCCCTTAAATCCACTGATTCGCAGTGCGCAACAGGCGTGCGTAAAATGTGCCAAGATATGTCCACTCCGATCCGGCGCAGCAGGAGTAGCAGCACTCTTATCTCCCTGCCTCTATCCCTCCTGTCTCCTCTCCTTGATGCTCCAGAGTTGCAGAATTCCAGTCCCCGGCTGATCTTGGTTCTGTGAGGAGCGACAGAATATTGTGAAGTGTTGGCAAGCAACAGAGTTAGCTATTTTTCCAAACGCACACTGTTATTTCGTCAGTGGTGGAAAGGAGGGGCAGAGTGCCCATGTGAAAAGTGAATGAGACACCTTTGGTGGAGGAGGGAAAATGCTTTCATTTGGCCCTGTGCCCTCGAGGTACATCCCCATCCAAAGGGGAGGGTGGGGGAGGTAACAGTGTTATTTTAGAGTAAATTCGTTTCCGCTAAGAACTGGAGAAAAACTTTAAATTAACTCAGTATGGACAGACATGTAAAATAAACCACACTGAACATTATTAAAGAAGTTCATTGTGTTACAAGAGAGTTTACTGCTCTGCACATTGTTAGCACCATCTGCTGATGAAGTCTCACTTTGATGGAACATGGAGAGCGCACTCGTTACATTAGGACTTGGAAAGGACAATGGAAACAGGGTGACGCAGACCGGCCTCGGCCTGGACTTGACTCATAATCAACTACTAATTTGTTTCAACAACACACTTTTATTATGTAAGTCTTGAGAATCACTTCTGTCCAAAAAACAATTCTGAGTAGTTGTACACAAAACAGTACCAGTCAATTTTGTCTGTGTAGGAAACTGTGTTTTATAACATAAATATTAGGATGTTATATATGTGTGTGTGTGTGTGTGTATTTGTGATATACATGACGGTCTGCCTGAACTGGCTGAGTTGCAGCTGACAGTGACTCAGTGGATTGTCTGCATTTGGCTTTTCCACAGTGTCGGGAGGGGTGGGGGGCGAAGGGGGGTGTTGCACTTTATCAGCTGTTTCCTAATGATCACCGCGATTGGCTAAAGCAGAATAGGAAGGAGGAGTTAGCTGAGAACGTGTGCGTGTACGTGGGTGTGGTGCTTGGTTATGTGGTGGTAATGTTGGGTGCTGATTATATATGTATATGTGGGTTAAGACATCTCTTGCATATATCGTCAGCTAGTAAATTATTTGACATCCTCTTGGCTGAAGTCGTATATGTTTCGTGTAAAATTATAAAGGATTTATTATTATTTTTGTTTTCTTTATCATCTGTCACTGTATCTTATTAAAGCTCACAAAGGAAGCTGGAAACAATCCCAGTTTGTTCCAGAGACACATGGAAAAACACATGGTAAATTCAAAATGTTTAATTGACCAATCAACATTATATCTGAATGGGCTCAGACGGAGAAAGGGCAAACCCAACAACAAAACACTCTCTGCCTCAGCCGGGATTCAGACCAATGACCAAAACAACAATAATAATTAAAAAAACAACATAATTTTGTTTTTATTCGAAAAAAGATTTGTTTTCCCACAGAGTTCTGCTAGGTAGATTCAATTAAGACCACAGTATGCCTGTGGTCTCATGCCACTGACTGAAGAATGCAATATATTTTTCCTAAATGCTTGGGCAGAAAGGTACACTGAAAGATATTCAACAACATGTAACTATAATGGTAGGTCTTGCAAAATCCAGAAGGACAAAAAGCTATAGATTAAAAAAAAAAACAAAGAAAAAAAACAGTTTTAAACAAATTGAATAATCTAAAAATCCATTAAATCAGACTTGTGATTAATGTACATCATCAAGTCAGAGCATCCAATTGTGGCTGTTATATGGCTGTGTAAGGGAACAGGACCAACCTGGTACCATGTAAAGTCCATCCAGACAGAAGGTCAGTTACAGCTTGGGCTTGAACAATGTGATCTTTTTGCTGTAAGGCAAGAACACTAACCACCGATGCACCAGGCAGCTCTTAAATAATGAAAAATGGTGGAATGAAATAACAGCTTCCAGAGATGAGTAAAATTTGTCCTAAAAATAAAAACAAAAATGCATATATAGATATACAACAAGCATTAAATTATTGACATACTGTATACAGATTGTGTTCTGCTATTACAACCCCAAGAAACAGATTGTCCAACATCCCTAAACATGGAGCACAAAGTGACCTAATTCTAAGTGGATTCTGCCACCTGAACCCACCCGACCTCCAGCTTATTTAATGACTACTACGTTTTAAAGTCTCAGGAATCATGTTATCATTTTACTGCTGCGCCTTCATCATTAAGTTGAAAGCAGCCAGTCACTTACTGCTATGTAAAACTTCTATGCTCTGGGACCGGCCATGGAGATCAGGTTGCCTTTCAGTATCCATAAATCAGTGAGTCAAGGAGCTAATCAAAGAGTGTTTGATCCTGGCAATCCACTGTGCAGGCCTCATGATGACCCGTATATCACACGACCTGTAAAGATGGTCCACCTCCGGCACCATGCCACCTCAGACTGCATAAAAGGGGTATTAAATTTCCCACCAGTAGAGAACAGTTCTGGTGAACCTAATTTGAAAAGGGAAAGCTGCGGATATTTAAAGATATTATATTATCTATGTTAAGTATACAAATACCAAGAATCTCCCGATTTTAAAGAATAAAACAGCACACTGGGTTTATTACAAATTATATTTGGCCTAATTTACTAAATACACTGAGAAATTATTCATGAAAACATTTCTTCATCTGTGCAAGGATGTAGACTCTAGTCTAAAAAGCTATGAGAGTTACTTTAAAAGATGCTGCTTAATATGTATAATCGTCCAAAGTGTTACACCGGGGTATTTTTGTAAACTTAATGTATAGAAGATATACTGTATATATAGTGTATGGGAAATCTAACTCTAAAGCCTCTTGAAAAACCTGAACCCAAAGCCAAATGTGGAGGTCCAGACATTAAGATGATCCCATTAGCTTTAGTAGGAGGCCCACAAAGGAAACTGACCGAACGCAAACTAACTTTAGTCATGTTGTTTTCATAATAATGTTAGTTCAATTTCTAAGGAGGACATAATATAGGAGGTTTTACTGAATAAATCCCGTGCTTATGGATTTGATGTGGAACTTAAATTAAGAAATAAAAACAGTATATGAACCCTGTTGCCTTGGTGTTTATGTGTGTTATAATATTTTTCAATGTACAGTATATCTCTGTCAGTTATGTTTCCATGACAACAACCGCAGTATGCCAATCTCCGTAGCCTCCAGGTATACCCTTGTGTTTTTGTGACTTCCGCACAACATAAAAAATAATTACTGGGGAGACACAAAGAAAAGAAAGGCACACACTGCCTCAATAAGTGCTTCAACTGTCCACAGCTCTCTGTACCAGGTGTCAATCAACAGGCAGCTGTCAGGAAGACTGTGACAGATGGTGCATTTTCAGATAGTTTTAAAGGAGGCTGACAGGTTTGTTTTGCACAAGTCTAGTCTAAGAGAAACTGTAGGATCAGTGGTCATCTGCAGTGACACCGCCATCTGCTTGTTTTTTCTCCTTTTTACTTTTTAAGATAAGTTTCTCGGTAGAAATGGTACCAGAATACTACAGAACCTGTATGTCAGTGATTATTAACCGGCGGCACGTGGGCCAAATGCATCACACCAAACCATCCAATTCAGCTTGTGACTGGAATCTGAAATAAGCATCAAATAATAATGTTAAACAAAAATGTGATCTTTATTTAATTTTATTTATGTGGCCTCTAAGGTGTCTGAACATTTTTGAGCCAAAAGCAGAAAGAGGGATTAGCACAGTTTTCTCAGCCAGTTGAACAACATTTCTTAGTTAAAGAAATACAATTTAAGGGTTATTTGAGCCTAAGGGTAAAACCTAATTATTCAGTGCATTGAGTATCATTGTTCTCAAAAGTTCACGAGTTACTTGTCTTTGTCAAATTACAAGATTACACTAACATAAAACACTAATGATCTAGCACAGACAGTGCTAAACAATTAGAAAGAAAAGATACAATTAAGTGATATTTATATAACAATCACTGTATTATTTCCTTGAATTAAACATTAAAGGCATACAGAGTCTGGCTCCAACTCAAGATGAAAATGTCAGTATTGTTCCCATCGATTAGAATATTAATCATCTGACTAAAACCCAAGCCCAACTGTTGGGGGATGGATGATTGACAGGACTGGAGTGTCGTGAATCACCACTTCTGTCACTTTACATGAAATATACTGATATGGATGGAAATTACATCAAAACGAAGGAAGACGAGGAGACGAGCGGAATGATCCAATAACCAGGAACAGATCATCACAGTGTCATAGACGGTCGCCAACAGTGTCACCACCACACAGCATTGTGGGAAACATGTCATTCTCCAAAAACCTTTTTTTTCACTCTGATTGGCCTATGCATGACCTCCTGGATTACAACATTTCAAATGGCGTTGTCAAATTAAATTGTCATGTGTGTCAAATTAACAGAAAGATCTTTAAAATGTCTGCTCCAGAAGACAGTATTGTATGCAAGATTAATTTACTATTGAAGCATTCCCTGAGGAGTCCTGCTTCTCACTGTACTTCAACCACAGCAGAACTGGGTGTGTGAGACAGTGGGTTATTAAGCCAGGCAGTATTTAGGCCTACACAAGAGCAGGAACTGTGGACAGATCATCGATCCTTTGGTCTCAGACCCAGAGGAAGTCAAGATAATCACATAATGCATTCCCACTCATGAGAGAAATTAGGTCAGCTGTAGAAAGTCATTTTGGGTTTCTTGGGTCCAATTATACTTTTTGGAGGCAGATTTTGGTGCATTTGGCCATCCATTAAAAGGCTTGGGTGGTATACACACAGTGCATACAAATTGAGCAACGCTACATTAGTGTACATGAAAAACAACAATTACCAGCCAAAATATTTTCACACACTTTTCCGGGGTGCCAAGTTTTGGTAAAAAGCAAAATGAGTCAATAATCAGCTTCTCCTTCTAACATCAGAATCTGCTTCATAAGTACACAGACCCACTCTGCAGTAGGTCTTCATCATTATACATTTAATATTCAATTACATTCTCCTAAAACCTGCACATCGTTAGGGTTAATTCCAATAATGACACAAATCATTACACACCAGCACATGAAAGAGAGTCACTCATTATATGTGATGATCAAAAGGGTATTTTAATGACTCGGCAGGAACAAAACAGATTCTCTTTTGCCACCGGCAAAGTGAACGTGTAGACCAATGCAAAGACCTTTCCCTGAACTGCATTAGCTAGAAAGGCTTCACATATACAATATTCAGGGTATTATGTGGTCTTTAAAGTGGGATATATTTTCAATATTACAGATGTGAACAAGACTACCATCGCAACTGAACAAATGTTGTCTGTACATGATGACTGATATGCTGTTAGTCCAATACTGGTTTGCACGTTTGTCACGTCTACACAAAACAAAGACAACACTCTTAATATAACAGATTTAGTTTAACGTGACCAAACAGTTTGTGTCTCAGCTGCTTTAATCCCCTGAAATAAATCATCTGATTCTCAAACAGCCTTTTCACTGTTTTACTTCCACGTGTGCCACCCCTCGCAGAAAAAAAGCCATTGCCCACTGTGAAGAAAAAAAGCTCACCCAATAAAACCCCTAACATTTCTGTGTAAAAAAAGTGTATAAAACATGTTTATGGGTCCACTGATCATAAATCAATGTTTTAAAGAATCACATTCAGACGCAGCATGGGGGCCATATTTTAGTGATCAAAAAAACAAAACAAAAGCCAATTGAATACAAGAACAATACATGGTAGAAACAATATTTAAAGTTTATTTCATTACAATAAAGTGATCGGTCAGGATTAGCATTTGGTGTTTTAAATTATATATGTATATGGAAGGGCTTATGTTTCAAAGATTAAAACTACAGATGTGCATTTAGTTATTTATTTTGTGTAGACTGAACCAAATCCAAATTCAAAATGGTGTCCTTCAGGGGGTGTAATCTGGACTCAAACTTTCAGGTCAGTTTTAAATAAACACTGGAGCATTTTCGTAAGTGTGTATACCACATAGATGTATTTTAATAAATGAACGCCATCATTACTTACTGTTTTAGTGTGTGGTTAATGCTAAAACTAACATGTCTCCAGATCACTAATATCAAATGATCATGAACCAAAATTCACTTCAGAACAATGTCACCCGAACCAAATCTACAATAAAAAGAAAACAAAAATCGTTCTCATTGGGTTGACCAATAACCTTATGATCTTGTGACTTTGAGATGATTTAGATTATTGTATTTGTGAATGTACTATAAGGGGTCACCGCAGCAGATCATCTGCCTCCACCTCATCCATCCTTCTCCTCCAATACTGCTACACCTCATCTTTTCTGCCACGCCTCTTCACTGCGATCCTCTCTTCCTCTTTCCTTGCCTGGTTACTCCAACACCAACGTCTTTGTTAAAAAAATCTACTCAACATATATAAAAAAATGTCAACCTATCCTGTCCATTCAGATGAATCTCTATAAAACAGTCCACATCGATAACTTTGGCATTTCCATCCCAGCCTCTACTTGTGTGTACATCATCTTCAAACCACACCTACATATTTGTTTGCCTACTGCATGTGTGAAAAGAAAACCCAAAACCAACACAGTGAGTCTAAATAAACTGTGAGCATTACTACCCACTGAGTAATTAATATAGGTCATCAACAGAAGAAGTCATCGTCAGTTTTCAAAACACATTTGGAGTCAGACGACACAGCCACAGACATTACTGTATAAGGTGGAGGCTGGAGTACGGCACGTCTGGACAACAAAGACCACTCTGTCTGAACGCAGCACTGTGACGGGAAATACAAGAAGACTGCAGTCATTTCTCTGGATGATGGGAATTCTGCAGATACAGAGGACAAGTGGATGAGGATGATAAGACATTCATTGAATTATATAACTTTGGCTGAAATAACAGAAGAAGCAACACAATATTCTACATATATGCAAGGAAGTTTCCCTGTGTGCCTGGATTTTATTTTTGGATTCCTCCTAGTCCAAAAACATGCAGATTAGGTCAAATGAACATTTAAATTTTCCATTAGAGTAAATGTAAAAGGCACTTGAACATTTGCCCATTAAATGCTACTCCTGCACATTTTATTGTTGCTGTCAGTATACTGTGTATTAAATTACCCTTCATTTAAGTTGCCAAGAGTGTAATGCAAATGTATGTAACAATCGTTTCCATTATCTAACCACACTGAAGCCAAACCCTGCTTAAAGCCAAGTCTCTGTAGGGGGCAGTACACTCTCCATGTGGAATTGTTTTGTAGAATTAGAATGTAGAATTTACCCACATTGCAACAAAAAAACAAAAAACAGGATTTTATAGCTAAATTTTAAAAAAGATAACACCATAAATTAAAGCATATACAAATAATGCCTCCTTATTAATGTTCTTTTTTTTATTACTTTTTGAACCCCCGCAACAATCAAAATGCACTCCTCTGTCAATTAGTCCCAGTCACTGCCCCGTGCTTCCATCTAAATAAAAAGTGTGAGATTCTTGTGGAGATTAAACATCCAGTGAGCACATGTTGAGGGATTATAGACCACCCCTCGCATTCAGCAGATGTATCTGTATCATCAAAATGCTTGAGGATGGCAGAAAGGTTCAGAAGTCAAAGGTAGAATGGTCAGATACTTTAATGGTCACATTTCCTCAAGTCCAGTGTTGACCTTACCTTATTAAACACTCTAAATAAAAGCTATTTCAGGTAAGTTTGGCCACAGAAGTACACACAGCACAATAAAAGACCAGATGACAAAAGCCAAAAGTGCACGGGGCAAAATTTGTCCTGCAAAATGCCAGTTTAGAAAGTGGAAATGAAAGAGACGATGTATGGTTTATTTTCATAATGAAAAGAGGGAGGAAAAGATCAACAGGACAAGATGAATAAGCAGCAGCAAAGCAGCTTTGTTTCCTAGGTGGTGACACCCTGTTTTCTGGGTGTAGCCTGTTGTCCCGCAGTAGTTGTTACTCTTCTTTTTTTTTTCTTTATTTCGGTCTGACACACAACGAAGGCTGAGGGGCTTGGCAGCCAGTCACAGGGTGAAGTCAAGATCTGGAGAAATTGCTTCCATACTCGTGGCCCACGTCCTCTGCCATGCTCTTCATGTCATTAACAGAAACACCATCGGTTCCTGAGGAAGCCCTGGAAGGCATTAAGAGCATGGCATTACATGAACACACACACAACCACATCTGGGTAACAGGGATTACAGCGGCACTGGATGGAATCACACAGTCTGGGGCACGGGAGACAGGATGGCATAATTTAATCATTTTTCGTTTTGATTTACTGAAAATAAAAGACAAGCAGCAAATCTGCCAGAGAGCTGGTGACTGTCACAGCTAAAGTCAAAGAAGTTGATCTTGGACAGATCTAGCACCAAATCTGGGCACACCAGCAGGACATTGTGGCCTGGTTAACACTGTTGTGATGCTGCGTGATGAAATGAGGGATGACTCTCTTCTCACAGAGTCAGGAAGTGATCCAGAAAACCTCTTCCATCACAAGCTCCTCAGAATTAGGGTTAAT